TGTAAATCTGTATAAAGTGTATTTTCAAGTATAACATAAACTATTGCTTCTGCAGTTGGAAGAAGTCTGTCATTTTTGACTGCTTTAAATTGTCCAGTATTCTATTTATCATATTTTCTAAAGATGTGAAACAGTTTTATGCTTCTTTATTTGCGCTTTGTCTTTGGATAAAGTTTCTGACAACGTTAAAACACTTTCCTTTTCCCTTTCGACAGAACTGGCCTGACCTTGTCCTGAAGACGCATAGAATCTTCCACAGCACTCACATCATCTTTTACTGCATCCAATGCTTGCTGAGAGGTCGGAGCTGGTTCTGACTCTGCTTCTACACTAACTGCTTGTAGGATGTTCTCGTCAGGAAGTTCAGATGTTGTAGCTACATTTTCATCAACTTCTTCAATATCTGTTAGCTCTTCCGGTCGGTAGGTCATAGTAAGTTCAAACTGTCTGGCCCAAACATGTAACGACAGGTCATCTTCATCATCAGTCAATCCTTGATCTTCAAGCCATCTCACGTGTTTATAGAAATGTTTTATTGTATTGCTCGTCACCTCGTCCCAGGATTTACTAATCAATAGGAAGGCGTAAAGAATCTTTAGTTTAAGATCGCCATTGTTCTCAACCAATTCCATCAAAAGTCTTCTCCTGTAATGGCTTTTCAATCTCTTGATGACATTTTGGTCCATGCGCTGAAGGACACTCGTTGTGTTTGCTGGCAAAAAACAAAGTTCAATGTTTTGAAGGTCACACAGTACAGGATACGCAGGACAATTGTCTACAAGCAGAAGAAGTTTTTGCCCTTTAAGTTCGATATCCCACTTTCGTATCGCTTCTTCAAAAATTTCAGAAGTCATCCACGCATCTTGTTTGCTTTATAGCTCACTGGTAAATTTTTTGTGTTTTTAAAGCAACGTAGATTTTTCGACATCCCTATCACTAACAATTTTCGCTTCACCGAACCTGTCGTTCCTTAGAAACCTAAGGAACGAACCCTAATGCGTTCCTTAGAAAGCTTTCCATCAACGCACTTTTGCAATTTAAATTTTAAAGTTCTGTTTGGTGTCATTTTAAAAAAACAATCCGGTCTCATCAGCATTGAAAATGTCGTCTGGCGCATATCGTACCTTCAGTCCAGGACACACGTTTTCTAGCCAACCATCCGTTACGTTTTTGTTAACACCGCGAGCCTCTCCGCTGATTTGCCCGCAGTTGATATTGTGCCGCAGCTTCCACTTGCTCAGACAACCCTAAAGATTTCAAGATTCCTTGAAATTCTGAGTTCCAAGCTCAGTTGCAAAAAACTCAGCTTTTGTCCTGACCACAGACCCATAAAGTGGAATATGGCTCATACGCTGCTGCTGGAACTACTGAAGCATAGCACGATTGAAATCTTCGTGCTGCGGTTTCCGCAACTTCTTCCTGCTACCGCCCTTTTTCGAAAAGATGTTGACTGTTGATACACTGTGTGTTGTGTTGACACAAAACATCTCTGTGTGACAGTTAGTTACGCCGCCCGAACAATTAAAGCGACTCAACCCTCTGATAAGAATAAATAGAATGGGTGGCCGCATTCCTTAAGCGCAAAATAAAACAACCACTGGACAATTACCTTCCCACTCTTGACTCAGGTAGTCTGAACTTTAAACACTATAACACATTTGTCATCCACTATTGAGTGGATGACAGAGAGAACGATATTGGTATAGAGAAAGAATTAATACATTGTCCTTATGACGAACCAACCAACGTTTATTATTTTCATCGTTATAGAGGAATTATCGTTAGGTAGGGAATCGTTATTACTGTACGTATTTCTGACTACTGGTCATTTTCAGTACGGTACAGCCAAGTTAGAAAAGGAGCATGTTAACTTGGAAAACGATCAGTACAGGAGCAATGCAACCAATTTGTGGCATCAAAGTTAGAAGACCCTGATGGTTTCCAGGGCAACAACTAACAATAACCACGAAGGAAGCTACAGCTACCTGGGGAAAGGAATGCCAAACGTTGAAACGTTTAAAACAAATGAAAAAGAAGGATAATGCAAGGGAATAATAAAAGTAAAATGTAATGGCAAGTCTCGCAAAACAGAAAACCAAAAAAGGTATATCGATGGAAGTAGAGACCATCTACGATAGATGTCCCAGAAACGACATCAAGATCATAATTGGAGATCTTAATGCAAAAATAGGGAAAGAAAATATATATAGTCTATACATCGGAAAATGCAGCGCTCATGACGTCACCGACGACAATGGAAATAGAATAATAGGATTTGCAGCATCCAAGGGCATGGTCGTTGGAAGTACCTACTTCCCCCATAAGAATATCCATAAAGTAACATGGACGTCGCCTGATGGAACAACCAAAAATCAAATAGATCACATCCTAATAGAAACCAGGCACTTCTCTAATCTAATGGATGTACGTACTTATCGTGGAGCTAATATAGATTCAGACCACTTCTTAGTAGGCGCAAAAATAAGAGCAAGAATCTCAAATGCAAAAAAAAAGAAAAGGGTAAGAAAAGTACTCGATACAATTTAAAACTCTTCAAAGAGCCCCGTGCACTAGAAAGGTATCAAAATTACCTTGAACATGAAAGCACAACAGATGAGAATTTAACAGCTAGCGAGCAATGGGATATATGTAGAAGAACAATTAAGGAAGCGGCAAACAACGTCCTAGGACCAGAAGAATCCACTCCTCGCAACAGTTGGTTCGACGATGAATGTGAAGATATCACTAAAAGAAAAAATTATGCATATAAACTTATGCAACAAAGAAGAACACGGGATAAGGAGCAAATGTACAAAGATCTTAGGAAGGAGGAAAAACGCATACATCGAAGGAAAAAGCGGACCTTCGAAAACCAGATTATGCAAGAGCTTCAATCATTAAAGGGGCAAAATGAAACTAGAAAGTTCTATAATATCCTAAATAAGACAAGAAAAGAATTTAAACCACGGCTGACGATGTGTAGAGACAAAAATGGACATATAGTCAGTACCGCTGACGCAGTACAAAGCAGATGGGTTGAGCACTTCAAAGAACTACTTGGTACCGAAGTGGAAAATGATGCGTCACCCCAAAGACCAAGAAATAACACTCTCGTAGAACCTCCTTCAATATTTGAAGTGAAAGACGCAATCACACGACTCAAAAATAGCAAGTCCCCAGGAGTGGATTGTATCCCGCAGAGCTCATCAAACATGGAGGTAACAGCATTATGCACCAAATTCACAACATAATAGTCAAAGTCTGGGAAGAAGAACAAATGCCAGAGGAATGGTGCACTGGAATCATATGTCCACTACACAAAAAAGGGAGATTTGTTGGAATGTAAAAATTATAGGGGTATAACTCTTCTGAATACAATGTACAAAATATTCTCCAACACCCTGTACAGCCGTTTAAGTACGTACGTGGAAGAAATACTTGGTGAGTATCAAAGCGGTTTTAGGCCAGGTAGGTCAACAATTGACCAGATTTTTGATGCCGAGTTACACAATAGGGGAACAATCTTTAATAAATCAACGCAGATTATGGCGTACGCTGACGATTTGGATTTGATTGCACGTACTACACGAGGACTTAAAGAGATGACTTCCACCTTCTTGACAGCCGCACAAAATATGGGCCTTAAAATAAACGAGGAAAAAACCAAAATGCTAGCATCTATTCCAAATAACAGAGATAGAGCTAGAAACGCCGAACAAAACTTCAGTATAGACCAATATAATTTTGAGGTAGTAAATAAGTTTACATATTTGGGTTCTCTCATAACAAACGATAATGACACATCTGAAGAAGTTAAACGGAGGGTACTGCTAGCAAACAAATGTTATTTTGGACTAAGCAAGCAGCTAAAAAACAGAAACTTAAGCCAGAAAACCAAACTAATAATATATCGAACACTCATCCTACCAGTGCTGACATATGGGTCAGAAACATGGACCATCTCCAAAACAGACGCAAATCTTCTGCTCGTCTTCGAAAGGAAGATACTAAGAAGAATAATGGGCGCATTCTGTGCGAATGGTATTTGGAGAAGGCGATATAATTTCGAATTGTACGAGAAATATAAAAAAATAGTAAATGGTAGAGATGTAATATCCTTCATAAAAATAGGCAGGCTTAGATGGGCTGGACATGTGTCAAGAGCAAATGAAAATTACCCACCCAGACGAACTCTATTATCGGTCCCAGTGGGAAATAGGAGTAGAGGCAGACCACGACTGAGATGGAGGGACGGTGTGGACGAGGACACAAGGAAAATCGGCGGGGCAAATTGGCAACGGTTGGCGATGAACAGAAACGACTGGCGAAATAGACTGGGGAAGGTCAAGGCTCAACTAGAGCTGTAGCACCACTGATGATGATGGAAGGCAACTGTATAAACACGTATTTCTGACTATTGGTCGTCTTCAGTACGGTACAGCCAACTTAGAAAAAAAGCATGTTAACTTGGGAAAGGATCACTACAGGAGGAATGCAACCAATTTGTGGCATTGAGGTTAGAAGACCCTAATGGTTTCCAGGGCAATTACTAACAATAACCACGGAGGAAGCTACAGCTACCTGGGAAAAGGAATGCCAAACATTGAAACGTTTAAAACAAATGAAAAAGGATAATACGAGTACTTAATTTTATTACTGTTTGATTAAATTTATATAGAATTTTTTGCAAATCTTCTCTTTGAATATTATCTTTGTTTGATTTTTTTATATCATTACATTTTTAATAAAAAAAATATGGGGGTAATCTCAAATTAGATTTTGTGTCAACAGTTTTTCACAGATTTCAGGATATTTTGTAAATTTGATGAGTTGCGAAAAACTTATTTATTCCATTCTAATTTAGTTAATTTTTTATAACTACCGCTGAGAGTCGCTGGCTCTCAGTTCATATCTCTCGTTGTTGACCGCCAACCGGTAATAGGCGGACGGTAAATAACCGATTCGATGTTTAAAAACGACGCGAGCCACATTTTAAGCTTATTCAACAAAACATTGTGGTACTAGTAACATTAAAAAAAATCGCAATGGTAGTTAAAGTGGAACGTAGAGTCGCAGGAGTTCCCGAGAAACCGAAGTCCAAACAGTTCGTCGGGAATAACTTAACCCTTAACATTGATGAAAACAAAAGCAGTATCTGCCTTACAGGAAATAACTGTAAGGTGACACTAGCAGAAAACAACGGAAAGTTGCAAGTAGTCGGTGATAATTGTGAAATAGTTGTGAGAAAGGGCAACGGAAATATTAAATATGTGGGCAATTGTGGAAAAATAGTTCTTGGCCTGGGAGTTTCTTCAGAAAATGTGAACTATATTGGAAATCGAGGCAATGTGACATCTGTGAACTCCAATGGAAGTAGTGAACCTCAAGAAAGTTTTGGTATTAGTGAAAATAGCAGCAAAAGAAGTACAACTAGGTTAATTAAAGATGGTACAAGAAATTTAACGGTCAGAAACGCCAATATGATTCAAATTACTTCTTCTAAAGTACCGAAGAATTTTGAATTACCACTACCTTTTGTTAGACTTCCAGGAATAATCCATAGATAAAAGGATAATAAAATTTTGTATCAAGTCTTTACACTATCAGTATTATAATTTATTATAGTAATTAAAGATGAGACTTGGACTGACCGAATCCTTTTTTAATGCCAAAGAATTAATTTATTTTTATATTTATTTATTTATTTTTATTAAAAAATTTTATTGTTCATATTTTGTATTATTTCATACTTCTTTTATTCCTGTAGACATATTTTCGTAACAGGCATTTAAGAAAAGCATTTATCATTAGTTTGTTTTCCATTTTCATAAAAAAACTATTCTCCATACTTGGAAAATATGTGGAATTCTACAGGGTGATTAATAACTACGTGGTATAGCAAACATACAATTTTATACATGGGACACCCTGTATATTTTTTCAAATTTGTAGTCTTCTCATAATTCTTGTTCTTATATTATTGGGTTTTGCATTACTATATAAAGTATTTAACACGCTATGACCATTTTTTCCGAAATCCCTATGAAATCAACACCTTGTATATAAAGAAATAATGCAAAAGGAATAATTTATTTTATATAATAAAGTAAACAATATATTGCAGTTTTTAAAAGTTTAATTAAAATTATTGACAAAATTTGTATACAGGGTGAAACAAAACAAAATTAGGATTTTCTCAATTTTTTTTAAATGGATCACCCTATATATTTTTTTAAATATTGTATTTATAATACTCTTTCATTTTTATAGATTTTCTATACCTAACTTCATTACTTTCCGAGATATTTTTAGTTTTCTTCAAATTTCGGAAATACATTCAATTTATGTAGTAGAAATAAGTATTGAGTTTTGAATGATAATATTCTTCTTCAAGTTCCACTCCTATCGGAGATTGGAAATCATTCTGGCAATTATAATTTTATTGGTTACTCGCCTGAATAGTTCAATTGAACTGCATCCAAACCACTCACGGAGATTGCGTAGCCACGAGATTTTACGTCTTCCTACGCTTCTTCTACCTTTGATTTTACCCTGCATTATATTCCTTAGTAGTTCGTACTTTTCACCTCTCATGATGTGCCCCAAGTATTCCAATTTCCTGATCTTTATGGAATTTAAAACTTCGCATTGTTTTCCTAGTTGTTCGAGAACTTGTTCGTTTGTTTTGCGATCCATCCATGATATTTTCAAAATGCGTCGATAACACCACATTTCGAATGCTTCTAGGTTTTTAATGTTGGATTTTTTAAGTGTCCAAGCTTCAACTCCATACAAAAGGGTAGAGAAAATATAACATCGAAGCATTCTTATCCGGAGCGATATATTGATATCGCGATTACAAAAAAGTTTTCTCATTCTATTAAAAGTTGACCGCGCAATTTCAATGCGGCATCTTATTTTTTTTGTCTGATCAGTATCTTCTGTGATCCATGCTCCAAGGTATTTGTACGAAGATATTTGTTCAATTTCTGTATTATCTAGTACTAGCTTAACTTTGATGTTTTGTGCTTTTGTAAATACCATGAACTTGGTTTTCTTCAAATTGATTTTTAGTCCATAATCGTTGCAATATATATTTAGTTGTTCAGCAAGGTGTTGCAGTTCTTCTAGTGTTCCTGCCAAAAGGACGGTGTTGTCAGCATATCTTATGTTATTAAGTGGCTCACCGTTTATTATAAGGCCCTCACTGATCTCGGCAAGCGCTAATTCTGAGATGGCTTCACTGTATAAATTGAATAACAAGGGTGATAAAATACACCCTTGGCGGACCCCACGGCGAATCTGGATATCCTTGGTCAGTTCGTTTTCAACTTTCACTTTTGCTGTTTGATTCCAATAGAGGATACAGATGATTCTAATGTCTCTACTGTCTATGTTTTTATTTAATAGAATTTCTTTAAGTCTATTATGCTGCACTCTGTCAAATGCCTTCTCAAAATCAATGAAACAGGCATATACTTCCTGATTAATATCTAAGCATCTCTGCGAAAGAACACTTACTGCAAACAGTGCATCTCGTGTTCCCAGACATTTCCTAAATCCCATTTGTGTATTACTTATGCCTTCATCTAATTTCTTATGTATTCTATTGTGAATTACTTTTAAAAACAATTTCAAGACATGACTTATTAAGGCTATGGTGCGATGTTCATTGCACTCCTTTGCATTGGCTTTTTTGGGAAGCAGTATGAATGTTGATTGGAGCCATTCTTTAGGTATTATACCTGTTCTATATATGGTATTGAATAGATCCAAAAGAAGATCAATAGATTCAGTATTCACAATTTTAAGTAATTCGATAGGAACTTCATCAGGCCCGGGAGATTTACCATCTTTAGCTTGTTTCATTGCATATTCAATTTCTTCTCGTATAATGTCAGGCCCAGTATCATCCTTAAATTCTTTTGGTGCTTCTGTTCTTTCTTTGTCTTCAAATAGTTGTGCTATATATTGTGTCCATCTCTGCATTTTTTGGTTTATATCTGTTATAAGTGCACCCCTTTATCTCTTAGTTGCCTAGTTTGAAGTGTTTTTCTCATTGCTGTTAATTCTCTAATTCTTTTATGCATGTTAAAAAAGTCATATTTTTTCTCAATTTCTTCTAGTTCTTGGCACTGCTCATGTAACATTCTCTCCTTAGCTTCTTTTATTCTCTTTTTTATTAATCGATCAGTTTCATTATATTTAATTGGATTTTTTGTTTTGAATAATTTTCTTTCATTCATTAATAGTAGTATTTCTTCAGTCATCCAATCTTTATGTTTTCTATTCTTTGGTTTTAAGTTTTCATTTGCTGTTTTAATTATTGCTGCTTTTATATTTTCCCATTTCTGATCAATGTTATAGCTACTTTTATTCAGTTCTTGGGCATTACGTATATTTTCAGTAAGAGTTTTTACAGTTTGTTCCTTTGTTTGTGGTTCCCTTAATCTCTTAATATCAATTCTACTTTGTGTTGGTTTTTTAACCAGTTTTAATTTGGTTCGTAATGTGACTACTATGGGGTTATGGTCTGAACCGATGTCTGCTCCAGGGTAAGTTTTGGCAGACAGTATAGAATTACGAAATCTTTTGAATCGGATTATTCTATTCGTTGTATCACCGGGAGATTTCCATGTATACAACCTTCTTTTTGGTAGCTTAAAAAGTGTATTAGCTATTACAAATTCTTCTGTCTGGCAAAATTGTATCAAACGGTCACCACGTTCATTTCTATTTCCTAGACCATATTCCCCCACATATCCATCCACTCTTCCCTGGCCAACTTTGGCATTGAAGTCGCCCATTACTATTGTAGTGTGATGTTTTTTTCATTGATTTTAAGACTTGTTCCAAATCATGGTAAAACAGTTCGATATCGTCGTCATCTTTATCTGCCGTAGGAGCATAAACTTGAATAAAATTTACTATACCTTTTTTAGATTGTAGTTGTATTGATAAGATCCTATCAGAATAAGGAGTAAAACTTACCACAGAGTAATTGATCTTTTTTGCAACTAAGATAGCAACACCGTAACGATGATTGACGTCGTTGTTGCCTGAATAATACATGGTTCCATTATTTGTAATTTGTTTGCCTGAACCTGGCCATTGTACGTCACTTATACCTAAAACATCAATTTGGAGGTTTTCCATTTCAAGCAGTACGTTCGCTAGTTTACCACTTGCATATAAACTTCTGACATTCCAGGTTGCTATTTTCAATGTCTTAAGTCCACAGGGATTTCTCTGGTTTACGACCTGGAAGGCCCTGTGATCTACAGTTATTCCTCCCCTGCCGGATCTTGGATTCCGTGCTCCATAATCAATAAGTTTGTTTACTCTACTTGTCATTTGCCATTCATGACTTTACTAGGGGTACTCTAAGAGTCTTTAATGCAGTGGTTCCCCGTTGCCTTCTGCATCCTTACGCCGTTGACATATGATAATATAAATATATCTAAAACTTATCAAAACAGCTAAAAATAATGTATTGAGAATCGTTTGGGAAACTCTACAAATGTTGCAAGAGAAACTTGGTCCATAATAAACGATCTTCGAAATAAAACTAACACAGCTCAAACATTTTCTCTTCCAAACCCTGAAAATCTAAATGAATACTTCGTTAATGTAAGTAAAAATATAACATCAGCTATTTTGCCACAACAAGATCCTATTTTCTATCTTCCAAATTCAAAAAAGGTCTTGAATTCATTCTTTAAAGACCAATTGATAAATCTGAACTGATCCAAACAATCAGTAGTATCAAAAGCAAATCTTAATGTAGTATAATACTGATGGGCTATCCATAAAAATTTACTTAAATCTCACAAATAATGCGTTGGAAGTCCTGGTCTCACTAATTAAGGATTCCTTTGAAAAAGGTATATTTGCAGAGTGCCTAAAGACAGCCATTATTGTTCCTCTTTATAAGGGTGGTGATTAATCTAATGTCTGCAACTATAGACCTATTGCCTTACTACCTGTCCTATCCAACTTATTACTTATAAAATCGCGACTTATGTCCTTTCTCGTTGAAAACAACGTTTTATCACAAAGTCAGTTCGGTTTTTTATCTAATAAATGTACCAGCGATGCTATGTTCTCTGTACTACATGAGGTCTTCATCATCACAGTCATTAACATCTTAGTAGATGTGTTGTGGTTCATAATTGGGCTTCAGCAGCTCGGACAGTTTGATTGATAATATTTCTCCACTGGTCGCGGTCATCAGTTATATGTATTGCCTCAGTATACTGTTTATTTAGAAGCTTTTTAGTAATGTCCGCCCATCGCTGTGGAGATCTTCCGCGTTGGCGTTGAGTCTGAGGCCTTGGACCACCAACCGCTCCATTTTGTGATCACTTCGATGGATATGGCCAAAGAACTTTAAAATTCTAGAGCAAACGGTACTGGAGAGACGCTGATCCGGTTTAATTTCATCCAGAACCGAGATATTTGTGCGGCGAGCCGTCCATGGAATTCGAAGCAGGCGTCTCCATGTCCACATTTCAAAGGCGTCTATACGTCGTCGATCTGATTCTTTGACTGTCCATGTCTCGCATGCATAGTAAAATATGGAAAAGACCAGAGTTGAAACGAGTCTCTTTTTGTTTGTCATAGTAATGTGACGATCACGCCAGACCCCGTTTAGTTCACTCATTGCTGCTCTTGCTAGTTGAATGCGTCTTCTAATTTTGGATTCACAACTGCCTGTGTTGTTAACTAGAGCTCCAAGATATATCATAGATGAGACTACCTCGCATCCCGCAATAGTTTGGGTTTCAGGAAACTGTTGTTGGCGATCAATAACCATGATTTTGGTTTTGTTGTAGTTAACCATGAGTCCAAATTTAGCACTTTCTACCTCGAGTTTTTTTAATAATTTAATAATTTCTTCTGGAGTAGAGGCTAGAAGTGTAGTGTCGTCTGCGAAACGCAAGTTAGATATCTTAACACCACCTAGGTTTACTCCTCCCTCCCAACCATCCAAAACTCTGCGCATTATGAACTCCGAATAGATGTTAAATAATAAGGGAGATAAAACGCATCCTTGGCGTACTCCCTTCTCCAAAGTGCATTTGTCAGACAGATATCCGTCCATTCGAATATATGCCAGGCTATCTTGATACAGTTTGCTAATAAGGTGAGTCAAGTATTTAGGTACATCCATTGTCGTCAATATGTTCCATAGTTTGTCCCATCTAACATTATCAAAGGCCTTTGTATAATCGACGAAACATATAAATATCGGGATCTGGTATTCTCTGGCTTTTTCTATGATGTTTTGTACATTAAGGATTTGTTCTCTAGTACCTCTGCCCTTTACAAATCCAGCCTGCTCAGGTGCTATTTGCCAACTTATGAAGTTTTCTAGACGCCGTTGCAGTATGTAGAGGATCACCTTACTGGCGTGTGATATTAGAGCTAATAGCCTGTAGTTGTTACAATTATTTGTTGAACCTTTCTTATGAAGAGGTATGATTATGGTCTTTCTCCAATCCTCAGGCCAGACGCCTGTGTGCCATATTTCATTGCACAATCGATGTAATATTTTCACTCCACATTCCGGAAGATGCTTCAAGACGTCTGCAGTAATGAGATCATATCCTGCTGCTTTGTTTAACTTAAGTCTTTTTAAAGCGAATTCCACCTCGGAAAAAAGTATGTCAGGTTCAGACTCAAAACTAGTGTGCTGTGTCTCTGTTAAAGGAGAATGGAAAGTGGAGGTCTGGCAGTCAGGTACAAACGGGGCGTCCGCTGGCATCTGGTCCGTATTGGCGTATAAAGACTTACAATACGCCCTCCAAACATCAATAACCTTGACCAAATCCGTCTGTACATTACCTTCATCATATTTGATAGACCAAGATTTCTGCTTGAATTTACGTGTGAGTTGTCTGACTTTATCAAAGAGTTCTTTGGTGTTATTTGTGTCGGCGTGTAGTTGAATTTCTCTGCAGATTTTCTCTATATGCTTGTTTTTGTCTCGTCTACAAGCAGCCTGAATAGCTCTAGATAGCTGTCGGTACTGGGAATTCCTGAGAGGGTTCTCGATTCCAGCAATTTTAAGTTTTCTACGTTCTTCAACGAGGTCAAAAGTATCTGCAGACATCCACACTTTTTTTGGTCCAGTTGAGACGGCATTAGACTGTGCCTCGCAGTCAGTCAAGGTCTGTATCAAGGTATTTTTAAAAGATAACCAAATCTTTTCGGAATTATGAGTGACGATAGTTGGTAAAATATTTTCGAATCTTTCATTACATTGGATTTTAAATTGTTGTGTATCTTTTATTTTTGATATCATTTTACATGAGGTCTACCAACCACTAAACAATAATTTTTATACTACCACTGTTTTTTGTGACTATCCAAAGCTTTTGATGATGTAAATCATGACATTTTGATAAAAAACCTAAATTTTTTACTACCTGGAAGAACTCTAATATTGCAACTCTTTATGCAATTATAACTTCTGATCTACTTAAAATAAAAACCTGGTCCGATTCTAATTTAGCATCTTCCAAAATAACATACTTTTCTTTGTTCGAGTCTCATCTTCGATATGGCTTTCCTTTTTGGGGTTCTATTACAGCTGCCTAATCTGATGTCTGTTTATAAAGTTTATAAAGTGACAAATAGTTCTATAAATAAAAAATTCTATCTATCTATCTATACAGCCCTTAACATCCATCCTTGTTTATAGGCCTCCTCCTCCTTCTTCCATGCCTCTCTATCTTGGCAATTCGCATCCATTTTGACCCGGCGTATTTCTTCAGGTCATCTGACCATCGCATTTGTGGCCTTCCCCTTTTACGTTTGTGATTCCATGGTCTCCAATGTATAATTGTTTTAGTCCATCTTTCATCTTTCTGCCTTAGGGTGTGTCCGGCGAACTTCCATTTAAGCTTTGCTACTTGGGTTGAGACATCTTTCACTTTTGTTTTATTACGGATCCATTCGTTTCTTTTTTTGTCTGATAGTTTAATGTTCAGCATTTGTCTTTCCATGGATCTTTCTGTCTTTGCTATTTTTTCCATATTTTCCTTTGTAAACGTCCATGTCTGAGAACCATATGTGAGGACAGGGAGTATACATTGATTGAAGACTCTCGTTTTTAAGTATTGGGGGTATTTTGAATTCTTTAGAATATAAGACAGTTTTCCGAATGATGCCCAGGCCAATCTTATTCTTCTCTTTATTTCTTCGGTCTGATTTTCTTTATTTAATTTAGTGATTTGGCCTAGATATATATACTCTTTTACTTGTTCTATTTTTGTTTGTGCCACTGTAATTATAAGTTCTGCTGGTTGATTAGTCATGGTTTTTGTTTTACTATAATTCATCTTGAGTCCAATTTTTCTCGATTCTCTATCTAGTTCTTCCATCATTCTTTGTAATTCTTCACTTTTTTCTGTTATTAATACAATATCATCAGCATATCGTAAATGATTCAGATTTTGCCGGTTTATATTAATTCCCAAGTCATCCCAGTGTTGTCGTTTAAAAACATCTTCTAGCGCTTGGTTAAATAACTTGGGCGATATGGTATCTCCTTGTCTTACTCCTCGGTTTATTTTAATAGGCTCCGTTTGTTTCATTAGCTTAATAGTTGTTGTTGCCTTGTTGTATATATTTGTAATTAAGTCGGTATATCGGTAGTCTATTCTGCTGTTTTGTAGGGAATTCTGTACTGCCCAGTGTTATACACTATCAAATGCCTTCTCAAAGTCAATAAATGCCATGTATAGCGGGATACGATATTCGTTAGTTTTTTCGATTAAAATCTTCATCGTTAAAAGGTGGTCACTTGTACTGAAGCTCTTTCTAAATCCGGCTTGTTCTCTTGCCTGGTATCCATCTAATTTAGTTGTTAATCTATTTGTTAATATTTTGCTTAATAGTTTGTACATCACATTTAATAAAGTTATGGGTCTGTAATTCTTTAGATCCTTTTTATCTCCTTTCTTAAATAGTAACAGTGTTATTGCTTCGTTCCAACTGTTGGGTATTTGTTTTGTCATTAAAATTTTATTCATAAGTATGTACAAAACTTTTCTAGTTGTTTTCCCACCATGTTTTAGCATTTCTACGGTCACCCCGTCTTTTCCTGGCGATTTATTGTTCTTCATCTCTTTGATTGCTCTTCTTATCTCGTTCTTACTGATCTCTGGTTGTAAGTCGGAATTAACATTTTTTATTTTTATTTGTAGTTGCTTAAGCATTTCTTGGGTTGGTTTCTGTTTCGTATTGTAGAGGTTTTTATAATATTCTTGTGTTATCTGTATAATTTCTTCTACATTATTGGTCTCTGTACCTTCTTTGTTCTTTATACTATTAATTTGTATGGTTCCAAGCTGTGGTTTTAAGCACTTCATGTTTTTATTTTGTTCAATTGCTTTTTCTATTTTTTCTTCCTGTACTCTCCTTTTATAACCCTTGATATTCCTTCTGATAGCTTTGTTTACCTCTTTGTAATCTACTGTGTTTCTCTTATCTTGTTCCAGTAATGTTTTTCTTTTACTCATGAGATTTTTTTGTTTCCTGGGATACATAGTTTTCCTTTTTTATTCTTGTTTGTGCTACCTCTTTTCCCGCCTTTGCTAATGTATCGGTTAATAGCTGATTTATTTCATCGATATTTTTGTTTTCCAAATCTCTAGTGACCGGTATACTTTCCTTTATTTTTTGTTTATATTCGTCTTTTGATTGCTTAAGTTTTTCCATATCTAGTTTCGATACATTTTCTATTTTCTTTTTTGTTTCGAATTGGCTATTAATCCTGAGTTTGGCTCTGACAAGTCTATGATCGCTACCGGTTGAGAAGCGGTTCAGTACTGTAACATCTTTGATGATATGTAATAATAATAAATAAAGGAATAATACATTTTATTCACCATGAAAATAATTACATTTCAATTTAATAAATTATTAAAATATATCTTCGTCTCTTTTTGACTAATCTCTTATATTTCATCATACTCAGTATCAAGGACTATGGTTACTGAAGCATTTTTACTTCTACGAGTGTTAAAATCAGCATTCGCTTTATCCAAATTTGTATCTTCTTTGAACATAGAATCTTTGTCAAAAGATGTCTGTGGAGTTTTTTGTAGGTTCTCGCTTGTTAAATCATCTTCTTTAAAATGTTTCTCATCGGATAATTTTGAATCTTGATGACCTTTTTTATTCACCTCGGATAATCTATCATAATCTCGACTAAAGCTGCTCGCATTACTAGATTTTCCTGCAGCCCCTGTTACGTCGCTGCGTATATCTGCAGATATTAGACTCCTTATTCCACGTCCGGTAAATTCCACGTTTGCCAAAGATTTATGTAGAGTTGCTATACTTGCCTTTGGTCTTCTGATACTCGAACCTGGTTCAGCTGGATTAAGAGTGAACACCGATCCAAAATTTATATGTTGAACTAAATCAAATTTGCTTAAAACCTAAAATGAGTAAATTAGATGATAATTATATTTAAAAAAAATTTTTGATGTTTTGGTACATGCACTTGGTCCAGCTAATTCCAAACATGTTTTTTTTCTGATCCTTTAACCTCAATTTGTCGGAAAAGAGGAAAAATCGAATTAAAAAAATCTACAGTTGGTTCGATTTTCCGGCAAAACGGTGCATATTTTCTAGCCACATGTATAGATTTTTTAATCAGCAAGTCATCCTTAATCGAAATAATTCAAATTTCAAACAAAATATTCACTTTAAATTTTCACGAAATTTTCAGCAAATCAAATACAAATATCCAAGTGGAAATTTTTCTCACAAACCGTTAGATGAAGGAAAATTCTGAGTATGGCAGAAGAACGAGTGGCCAATTTTATGTAAGAAGTGTCCATTCGCTTGACTCGTGGACCAAAATTGACGCCAATATATCCGATTAACAAAATTTGATAAAAATCCAAGGGTCCTCCTTGAAAAATTTTTGCCAAATTTTAAATTAAAAAAATTTTTTTTTGATGTTTTGGTACATGCACTTGGTCTCGCTTATTCCAAACATGTGTTTTTTTCTAATCCTTTAACCCCAATTTGTCGGAAAAGAGGAAAAATCGAATTAAAAAATCCTACAGTTTTTTCAATTTTCCAGCAAAACGGTGCATATTTCCTAGCCACATGTATAGATTTTTTTAATCAGCAAGTCACCCTTAATCGAAATAATTCAAATTTCAAACAAAATATTCTGTGTTTTATTTCTTTACTTCGTTTGGAGTACCAGAAATCGAATTCACTACGAATATTGGCCATGATGAACGGCATTTGGAATGCAATTTTAGATTCCCTTGCCGATTTATTCATCAAGCTGTTTGCTTCGCAAGTTTTAGGAAGCACGGTGGCTGATATTTGAATTCGATTTCGCCAGGTAGAAATCGTATGGTTTCTCTTTTTGCAGCTAAATACTTTACCGCGATACTGTGTTGACCTGTGAAGTTAAATTGCAAATATTACCCTATAGATGGACACCAATTGAGCTCAAGCAAAGGAACTGATAACACATTATTTTCATGGTAACCATCAAGGTGGTTTTGAGCAATGAAGCAATCAAAGCAATAAAACACCTACAATACAAATAATTAGAAATAAATTGGAAACAACTGGTCGGAACATGAACTCTAAGTGACAAGAGTAACTTTAATAATGTGACAATGTTTCTCAAATGCTGACGTCTATACTGCGTCATATAGATATTGTTCTTATCATTTTGCTCACATTGTGATTATTTTTAAATATACTGTGATCCTTACTTTTGTAACCATGTCAATGGTCTTTGTTGCTGACACATTGATTAAAAAAAAGTTTTTATATTTTTAGGTTTTGTATTTTTGAAATAAATAAAAAAAAGTATCAATAATTCTAACAATAACCAGACTAATTACAAAAGCTATTTTATATCATTTATCAATGATCAATTATCAACGCCAAAAAAATAAAAACCAATTTTACAAACTGGCTTGTAGAGCTAGTTTTCAAAGATTTCCATGGAACTTAACTTGTTCCTAGTAAAAACTGACTATAATTACTTACTGCTTCCCGATACATTCTTATAAGACTAGAATTAACTGTAGCCCAAGATGAAAGCCCACTGGCGTTCCATAATTGGTTTGAGTGTTCAGCAAAGGGACCAGATTTTATCCTGTTGATATGCTCAATGCAATTAAAAAACATATATTTGGACGAATATCTGTGAACAATTGCTTCTTTAAGGAAACTGGAAGGGCTCAATAATGCGGTATCTAGATAGAGAAATTAGAGTTATTAACAATGTTGATTTCATGTACGGTCCCAAAGAACTAAGTTAAAAATGTTAAATTGTAAAATGTATATGATGAAAAAATCTCTATTTTAATTTTGCAATTTAATTCTGGGAAGGTCTGCGTCACATTACATTCTAGTCTAGTGGTCCATCTGTGTACCATGGAGTATATATCACGATCAAAAGCGGATATCGAAAAATGCTTGAAACCGTTTCAAGGATAGTAAGAGGGAACTAAAATGGCATGAAAGAGAACTCACCCCCTCAAGAACTAGGCGATGATGATCAAGACCGACAAATTGAGTTTTGTGAACTCATGACTGAAAGAATTCACGTTGAACCGACAATCTTAAAAAATATTTGTTTCACTGATGAATGTACTTTTATTCTGAATGGTAATGTAAATAAACAACACTGTCGGTACTGGAGTGATGCGAACCCGCATCGATTCAGAGAAGGTCACACTCAAATTCTGAAAAACTGAATGTTTGGACAGGAATATTAGGCGATGCTATAATTGGCCTCTTGTTCATACTAGGCAATTTAAGCGACGACATTTATTTCGATATGCTGGAAAATACTATCGAACCTTTAATTGTGTATGAATTAGACAACCAAAGGGACCATCAGGGCAACCTAGCTCTAGACTGTATTGATTTGCTGTACTTCCAACAAGATGGAGCACCTCCTCACTATGCAGCTCCAATTAGGCACTGGTTGGATACTAATTATCCGAACAAATGAATTAGAAGGAGAAGTCCTATTGAGTGGCCACCGAGGTCACCAGACTTACCGCCACCTGTCTTTTTTTATGTGGTTACCTTAAGTCAGTTGTTTATAAAACTCAACCTGCGTCACTTAGAAAGAATTACGCAAGCAGCTCTCGCTATTACTAGAACAACATTTGCCAAAGTTCGTGCAGAATTTGAAAATAGGCTGTATTATTGTTTACAAAAGCCTCATTAAATTTTCCATTTTAGCCAAAGCTTCACATTTATTGTTTCGAGCATTTTTTAATATCAGCTCATTTTTGATAGACCATTGTAAGTTTTAAAACTGACACAGTGTATATTTGCTAAAGTGGAGAAAGCATTTGCAAAAATAAATTAATGTAATTAAGATATCAAAACTGAGCAATATTATTTTTGCAATTATAAACTAAGATTGAAGAATTATCGACAATAACTAACCAATTAATTGGGAACTTCCCCAAATAAAGGGTACAAATTGATAATCGTCTAGACTCCACACCCCCTCGCTTCCAAATGGTTCCATCTGGTAAGTCATTTGTAACTTTCGAGTCAATTTCAGGTACCTAAAATATTATAAAACTATTTTATTTTTTACACTAATAACGTGATAATTAAAGAGATAAATAAAAAGTAATAATAACAATAATAATTTATTCTAATTTATATAATGACAATTGATAATAACAATTTATTCTAAATAGGCAACCAACAATACAAATATCACAAATCGTCATCATTCAACCAATCGCGTCCACTGCTGGACATAGATCTCCCTTAATTTCTTCCAATGGTCTTCGTTGGTTCATCTAGTCAGTGGTCGTCCTCGTATAGTTTCTGGGCCTCCATTCTATGATCCGTCTTGTCCACCGTCCATCTTGTGTTCTAAGTGCCCAGCTCAGTTCCACTTAAGCGTCGTGATTCTTTCGATGAGGTATTGAATGATTGATTTGTTCCTGATTTGTTGGTTTGTTATGTGGTCTCGAAGGCTCACGCTTAACATTGCTCGTTTCATGGCTCGTTGTGTAACTTTTGAGTTTATTTGCGGATCTTACATTTAACTGAGGCTTTACTAAACCATAATTAATTGCTGGTTTTGAAAACTTTATAAAACTTAATTACAATTTATAGAAATAACAGATGGTAGTAGAGGGTTGTAATAATTTGTATTGAAAAAGTATATAACTTTAATCAATAATAAATACCTTAAAAGTACTTTGCAGGCTGCTGCTGATACATCGGACGGTTTCAAATATCCAATTTTAAAAAGAGAACATAAAAATAAAAGAAACGATAGTTCATGAATGGTTCCATATTCAACCGTTGTAGAATTACCGAAGCCTTCCACAAAATAGATCATTATTTCTGGTATTGCTCTATGCAAAACTTCTGGTATAATACTTTGAAGTAAATTAATGGCTTGCTGCAATTAAGAAGTATTCATTAATAGTATTAAAAATTATACTAACATAAATTACAGTAATTTCTCTCAGTATGTAAACACGAAAACGAATTTATGTCTGACACTCGACATTTATTTACGGAGATAAGTGTCAGATGTAAAAATAACTTAGTAACAGTTCTTTTTTTACGGCATTTTTCAGTTACAAGTTGTTTCTTCTCTTAAGTGCATTTTTTTCGTTGTGACGATTGAATTGCGAAACCCTACTTTGGTACTTAAGTCAGCTTTTAATAAAAGAATTATAAATGTGCAACTTTATTTTATACGACTAATGAGATATGTGCGGATCATCATCATCATCAATCAACCAATCGCGTCCACTGCTGGACATAGACTTCCCTCAGTTCTTTCCAGTGTTCTCTACACTGGGCCGCTTGTAGCCAGTTTCCCGCTACACGTTTTATATCATCGGTCCATCTAGTCTGTGGTCATCCTCAGCTTCTTTTATAGTTTCTGGGCCTCCATTCCATAATACGTCTTGTCCACCGTCCATCTTGTGTTCTGGCTAAGTGCTCTGCCCAGTTCCAGTTAAGCGTCGTGGTTCTTACGATGACGTCATGAACTCCTGATCTTTATCTGATGTGCGGATAGTTTAATAAAATTCAGCACTTTGGAGGATTAAGAAGCTTTCCCAGAACATAAGGGTAAAGTTTATGCGATTAAAAACTAAAATACCACAGAAAAACCGTGTTCAAAACAATAATCCTTTTTATTAATCAAAATTATTATATCAACAGCGTCAAAAAAGTATACTAGATTCAAATTTAAACTTAAATTAAATGTATCAATTTAATTTTCCATGAGGATGATCATGACGTATAACCATAACCGCATGAGTACATTAAGATTCATTAGTACTTACAAGATGGAGGCATGTAAATTCAAAATAATTCCCCGATTTTTATTTTAATATTTGTCATTCGATAATCATTTTGAAAATTATCTGATTAAACATTTACTGCCAATAAATATTTATTTTTAATGGTGGAATAAAGGAAGATTATCAAGTCATATGGATATTCGTCAAAAAAAAACGTAGAGGGTAAGAAATTATACAAATACATATGTTGAAAAACGGTTTATTCTTTTTAGTGTGTGACCGATGAAGAATAGAATGGTAATTTTCAGTAGCGTAATTTATTTAGATATTTAAAAAATGGAAAGACGCAAGAGACGTTCATGCTGATATGTTGAAATTAGTGAAATCCGAACATATATGTCTGCTATTTAACAAAATATAATTGAGGGGCTGAGAGGAAAAGTGGTACAAGTGACATTTAGATAGTTTTGAGAAAATCAGAGTTAAAGTTTAAGTAGTGGCACAAAAAGACCAAACAAAATTTTAAAATCTAAACAAGATATTATTATTAGTAAGTTCTTAATGTTTTCATGTGCAGTTTTTACAATCATATACATTTAGTTTTTTTGAAACATTTTTTACAAAATGTACATGTACCATTTTTGTTGTTTAGAGTAAAAATGGTACAAGTAAATATTACCATGAGTAAATAAATAAATAATATCTTTTATAAAAGAAATACACGTAATTTTTTGAACATTTATTTAAGAAGCTACATTAGATACGAAAACAAAATGTATATTGCACAAAAATACAGGAACAAAAAATGCATAAAAATAATAACGAAATGATATTATATAGACGTGCTACCAACTGAGCTAAATATCTTCCTCATCATCATAGTCGCTCAAAAGTATTTTATCATTGTCGTCTACCTCATCGTCATCTTCATTGTCCTTCTCTTTTCTTTCTTCAGGTTGTATTGGCTTCTTTTTCTGACCTTGTTTTCCTTCTTCGCAGTGGGATTGAGCTGATTGTAAAATTGATGTTAAATTGGTGGCACAAAGCATAGTAGGTCTTGTAAATTCTTCCATTTTTCATACTTCAGACTCATGGGTGGACTATACAGTTTGCTAAGACTAATATTCTGAGGTGTTCTTCAACGCATCTTCTTCATACAGTTAACAGTTATAAATTCAGTCTCTTCATTGAGAGTGTACTTGAATTTCATAGTAAATGGGTCTTTCTTCTCAAACCGAATCCATTTTATTTCTCTCCATTTTATCTGCTTATTCTCATCATCCTTTTTAATATTTTCCTGCACGTACTCGTTGAAGTTTTCGAGTGAAATGAAGTGCTCCATCTTCATTTCTTCACATTTAAACTTCTTAGAACTGTTTCTCACAGCATTCATCCACTCACTGGGTACAAAAATATAAGGTACTTGCTTTTTGTACTTTTCAATGACTCCGAAATCTTCATCGCATTCCATGAAGGTATGTCTCGGTTCAAGGAATTTGTGGTCTATTATTTCTAGCTGAGTTTCTTTAACGACATACATAAAAAATTTCACAATATTTTTATTCTTATTTTGTCCAGAACAAGAATCACTAAATGCAATAAGATGTCGTGTATTTTGATTAAGACCAGCAATAAATTTCCAAAGACATGAAGAAACTTCCATAGAGCCTCTGGATGCTACCGATTCATCCCACATATACATTGAAGCACATTTCTTGCCCAAATTATGGATTCCAAAATTATATGTCCATAATACTCGCATATAAAACACTTTGTTGGTTGTAAGTGCTGGTGTAGGTAAAGTTTTTTGTAGATCGAAACATACTGATACCACTTCTTCATTCCTTGAAGTTTCAGCCACTATTTTTGCCTCTTTTTTGGCTTGTATTCCCGATTCGGCTTTTCGGTGATGAAGCTCTCTCTCGCACATTATTTTCTTTTTATCTGACTCACTTATGCACGATTTTATTGATGTTTCGAACTTATCGCACTTATTACAAGTATGGGACAAGGGATGATGAAAACTTAGATTAAATTCGGTATTAAACACTCTCCTGTAGCACCATTCCTTGACAGGAGCTTCGTTATTTTCTTGACAATGCTCTAGGTAACACTTATACATTTTTCTTATGGTCAAAAATGAAGGAAGGTACCGTCTACGGGGATTGTAATGTCTGGTGTAATGGCTGGTATATTTTGGAAACATATCAATATGTCGTTTTACCTTATCAATTACATCCTGTGATAGTTTATTAGGACATGGAGCTCTTCCTCTTTTATCAACAGCGGTGATTCCAACGTCAGATATCCCATTTAAAATTCTCGAATAACGTCCATTGCTGATATCCAAGGTTTTTAAGAAAAACATTTTGCAAACTCTCATATTTTTTAGTTTGATAGTAACGCTCTTTTCTTTATTAGTAACAGCTTCTGTACGTCGTCGTTTGGGCAAAGCGATCTCTGTACAAGACGTAATGAATGCATTCTGCAGATTCCAATTTCCTAGACCCCAGAATTGGTTAAATATTTCCTGTCTTTGTTCATCGGTGAATTTTTGACACTGAAATCTGCAAGTATGTATATAATTTTGCAAACTTCTTGCTTTTACTAACTTGTTTTTATAGCCTACGTATTCCTCACCTGCATTTCTTTTTCGTTTTCTTACTTGCCTCTTATCTAAATCGCTATATCTCAAACGTTTTTTGCCCTTTTTCTTTAATGACTTGTTTAAATGAACATCTGCAATGTTTTGTAGATCATGATTACTATCGCTACTACTTTCTTCTATTGGATTATAGTTTCTGTCCTCTTCTGAATCGTCATATTCCGAATAACTGTCAGATTCTGAAACAAAAAAGAAACATTTTAAGGTTATGCTATAAGTTTCTTTCAACTACTACTTTTTGAAGACATAGATAAATAAAATAACCCTATAAAATAACAATTGAAAAAATATAAAACGCATTGAAGACTTACCTTGCATTATTTTAAGGCTATTTCACAAATTGTATTAATATTCCTGCACACTTTTAAAACGTGGCTGTCACAAACAACTACATAAGGTTTAGAACAAAAGTGGGACATGTACGCTTGGACCACTTATACAGAAAACCATTACCAGAAATTGGTGAGAGCTTTTACTTCTCACATACAGATGTCCGTACTGTAGTGTGTTTTGTACTTGTACCATTTTTATATTAATAAATCTCAACATCCTCTAGCCACTCATGCACATATCTCACTTTTATACAAAATGTCACTTGTACCACTTTTCCTCTCAGCCCCTCAATTATATATGGGAAGAGTGGGCAAAGTGGCCATGTTAAGGAATATTTTTTTATCTTGAAGAAAATAAATAAGAAATACACTATATATTAACATACAATACCCTATATACTTAGCTACAATGTTACAATGTTAATTTTCACTTTATCTCGGTAAATTTTTTAGATACATATTTTTTACCCTAACCCTACCAAATGGCCACTTTGTCCTGCGGGGTGGGGCAAACTGGCCATGAGGTGGCCACTTTGCCCGATATAACTTACAAAATTTAAACTGAATTTGTATACTAAATGAAAGTGTATTTTCAAAATACAAACATTATTGCCATCGTAGAAAGAGAAAGTTTCACACCAAGTTTATTTACAAACGTCACAAATAAAGTCATTGTCTTCCTCTTCACACCCATGTGTCACACACAAGCTTCATGTGTCTGTCGTAAACAGCCCGAACACTTTATTCGTCCTTTATTTTCCCTTGACTGGGAATATAAGTCCCCACAGAAAAGGCAATCAGTATCACTCACGTCACTGTTCGAGTTAATAAATAAAGCACGGTTCGCTAATTTTGATTTCGTTTTCTGCTTCCTTTAATTTTTTTTGCTTCCTTCATTACTCTTGTTATTCTGCTTTCCTTTTTTCAGTTCCAGCTTTATTTTCTTAAGTCTTTCCTTTTCTTCTTTTTCTGCTTTTGCGGCTACTAGTTCTATCTTGAAAGGGCTTGATGTCAAAACTGCAGCTGTTCCTTTTTTACTCAGACGATACCTATTATTCTTTCTACCACTGGAGTCATTCCGAAGAACCTCCTAGATAACATAAAAAAGCTGAGTTTATGAACATCTATACAGGGGTGTCCCATA